TGTCTTTGAGTGTGGTAATGTCCACTCCAGAACTGGCAAGGGGGTCAGAAGACCCGGCTTCATATTCCCCCTTACTTGACACAGCAACTGTGATCACAGGCAACTCAACTGAACCAACTCCTGCTACTCCACCATCTTGGCTCCTGTCCCTCCTTCACTCATTCTTCAAGTGTTTATTAAGTGCAGAGCATAGCAATAGCTTCTTGTAACGCTTCCTTTTGGTAAACTGGATATATCGACATAAGCAAGTTTCTGAGAGAGATGATTCAGTGGACACACTCATGCTCAAATCACTGTCCAGTAGATGGCAGGTCATAACCAGTTATATGTGCAAATGGTAAACTTAAAGGTTTATTTTGCAAGATGGTAGCCTAGCTTGCCCAGTAAGTGAAGGCACAAACAGGAGACGATAAAGCAGCTTCATAGATGGATAAAACAAAACATCATAAAAACATAAAAACGAAACCAAAACCAAGAGAACTTGACACTTTTTCAAACAATATTAGCAGTCCTACTCTCCACACACATATGTATAAACACAACCACAGCCATCACTCACAGTCCTTCCCATGTTTAACGAGAAGCATAAGGAGTGAGCATTTAATGTCAGGAGCTTCAAAACTTAACAATTCATGTGGAATAAAGAAGACAGCTAGTGGCTCAATGGACAGAGTGCTGGGCCTAGAGTCAGAAAGACCTGAATTTAGGTCCACTCTCAGACACTTACTAGCTGTGTGACCCTGAGCAAATCACTCAACCCTGTTTGCCTCAATTTCTTCATCTGTAAAATGAACCAGAGAAGGAAATGATAAACCACTCCAGTATCCTTGCCAAGAAAAACCTAAATGGGGTCACAAAGAGGTGAACACAACTGAACAAGAGAAGAGCATCATGAAAAGGAAAAAGCAGCAACAAATCTGTACTGAAAATTTTCAGAGCTGCTTTATTTGTAACAACAAAAAGCTGGAAACAACTTATATTCAACGATTGCTGAATACATTATAGTATTATATTTTCAAGGTGTAAAATTTAAAATTGTTTTATTTTGCTAAGACTTTATCAAGCTAGATTTAATATTCCCTTTGCCATTCCTTCCCCTTGTAAACTTTATCCACCACCCACACCTTAGAGAAATTTGCCTAAAGCTCAAGCTTTTTTCCTGTAATTATCTCCACCTCTATAACCCTGCCCATCACCCACTTTCCAGAGAAACTTGATTAACCTAAAAGGTCAAATCTCATCAATTTAAATGATTTGTAGCTGAAACTTTTGTCTTGTTCTTGACTAGGGGCCCAAAGTGTTGGTTACTGATATCCTAATATGTTGATTCTAGTTGGAACTTTGTGCCTCGGTTCACCTTAATTTTCAAATGTAACAAAAGTACTACCTATTCCTCTTCCCGATTCTCGTGTGTGTGTGTTCACATTAAACTCATGGCCCACAAAACTCGGGAGTGTTGCCACAACCAGATCAAAATGTAATTGGGAAATGTTTAACAAATAATACAACACAGACAATCTTAATTTGTGGTTTTTAAAGTCACTATGTAGCCCCTAGGGCCCAGTTTCTATTTGAGTTTGATACCACTGACCTGGACTATTGCAAAGGTGTGGGCTTCCTGCTATATACTCTCTGCCCACTCCTGTCCATCCTGCACTCATCTGTCAAACTGATCTTCCTAAAGTGAAGATCTGACCATGTCACCCTGGCTACTCAATAAACTCCAGTGGCTCCCTATCACTTCTAGGATCAAATATAAAATCCTGTTTGGCATTCAAAGTCTTTCCTAACCTGTCCCTTCTCTCCCAACCTTCTCAGTTTTTTTACAGCTTGCTCTCCTACTTTGTGACCCAGTGACGTTGGCCTCTTTGTTGTTCTTTGCCTAGCTAGAATGGGCATTTTCACTGGCTGTCCTTCATGCTTGGAATTTTCTCCTTCCTCATCTCTCCCTCCTGGCTTCCCTTGGCTTCAAGTCACAGCCAAAGTTCCACCTTAATGCTAATGCCTTTCCTCTGAATGATTCCCAATTTACCCTGTATCTATCTTGTTTCTACATAGTGGCTCCCCTGTTGTCTCTCCCATAAGCTCCTTGATGGTAGAGATTGCTTTTCTTCTCTTTGTATTTCCCAGCACTTAAGCCACGGTGCCCGGCATGCAGTAAGCGCTTAATAAATGCCTACTGACTTGATCTATAGTGTATCCTTATTTTTGTGGATGGTTATTACACTTAAAATTAAGAAAATAAGAATGAGCACTAGAAGTCAGAGGCTCTTGGTTCAAATCCCACTTCTGTTAACTTATTATCTATAGGTCTTTAGGCAAATCACTCAATTAAAGAAATATTTAGTAAGCACTTAAAACACACAAGGCATTATGCTATGTGCAGGGTACAAAGAGACAAACACAGAAAAAGTCCTGCACTTCAATGAGCTTATAGTTTTTTGAGGGTAGATACAAAACATACACAGATAAGTAAAAACAATATTATTTAAAGTTAAACAAGGGAATTTCGGAAGCATTAAGAATTTGGGGGGATGAGGAAAGGCTTCATAGAGTAGATGGCACCTGCGCTATGCTTTGAAGGAATTCTAAGAGGTGGACAAGAGGAAGAGTACATTCCAGAGGAAAGGAGGATGGCTTACGTAGAAGCATAGAGATGGAGGATGTAGTAAGGCCATTCTGGCTGGACCACAGAGTGAATGGAATAATATGAAACAGGGCTGGGAAGCTGGATAGGAGCCAGACTGTGAAGTTTTAAACACCAGGCTGAGGAGTTCGTATTTTATTCCAAGGCCAATGGGAGACCACTGAAGACTTTTGAGCAGGGCAGAGACATGGCCAGAGCTACGTTTTAGGTGATTTGGCAAAGAGTGGACAGGAAAGGAGAGCAAAGAGAAACGGAAAGGACATTAGGCAGGCTAATGCAACAGTACAGGCAAGAAATGGTGACCCTATCCTTTTTTTCATGGTTGTTAGAAAGTACTCTGAAAACATGGTCACTAGCAATGATTTCTTCTTGACCTTTCCTAAATAAAATTCCTGTATCTGCACATTTGTGTGTGTGTGTGTGTGTGTGTGTGTGTGTGTGTGTGTGTGTGCGCGCACGCAAGAAAGGACAGGCAGAAGGGTTTAAAATAAACATATTTTATAAAACTATTATTTGGGACTTCTGGACCTGTGATTTCATTGGAAATACTTCATAGGAAATTCCCAGGATGGAAGCTCCCTTCAAAGTAGCTCTACAACTCATTGCAGTTTAATCACATTGGTACTTAGAACCTGGAGCACTTAGAAGTTAATGACTCACCTATGTTCACTGTCACTATATATCAGAGGCAGGACCTGAACCCTGGTCTCCCTGACTCCAAGGCTGGCCCTCTATCCACTATGCTGGAAAGAAATGGATACAAAAGGATTTAGAAAGATTAAGGAGGATTGGAAGAAACTGCTGGAAGTAGAGGACAAAACTGTACCAGGCCTACTCAGTTAATCGTGGAGCTAAATATAATTTAGCCCTCTAATAATGACTTTGGCGGGGAAGCTTACAAGATGACTTATGCTCTCTCTTCCCGTGAGAAGGATGAGTTAAAAGATGGGCCCAGTTCAGGCTGCTAGAGGTTTAGTAGACCAAAAACAAGGATAATAATGATAATAGCTAACATTCACATAGTACTAAGGCTTACAAAAATTTTTAGTACCTTATTTGATTCTTAAAACAATGTTGTAAGGTAGGTATTACACTATGTAAGGTGCTAGTAGATTTGGTTCTGATAAAAATCACTGTTTCCCCTATCCCGCCTATCCCTAGGACTTGGAACCTTTCTTGAGTGCCCTGTAGGTCCCTACTAGCCAAGCCTTAATTTACCCTCATGGAAACCTAACTGTCTGCTCAGATACATATTCTACATTTTCTGGAACAACAATTATTGTTTTAGTGACTTTAATTATTTTGGTTCCATCATCACTTCACCTAACCAGTCCTCAACTTCCTCCAAAATAAATTCTATTTTTAGAAGACATGTCTACTAAAAAGACATGTTACTAGGTTGCACCTTTCTCATGAATAGAAATACTACCATACTTGATTCTTTACCCATTCATTGCTCTTCATCTTCTGTACATGACCTTGTTTAGGACTGTTCAATGCAAAAGATACATAAAACAGACTCTGTGCCTTTATGTCAATGTATGTTACGTTGGAATGACCCCTGACACAAGATGCAGAATACAAAATTCAAGTAGGGCATACCCCTGCAACTAAAATTCACTTTTATTTACTTTCTATACTAATGGCTTAAAACAAATGGCCACACTGAGGGCTAACTTCAATTTAAAAAATGAGGCAAATTTACCTAAGTGATAAAATTACTGTCATTACCACTAAGAACATACGGGGGCACAGGCTGATGAGACCTTTTTCCTCCTATCCTGCCCAACTCCAAACGAAATTTCAAGACTACACTAAAGATGATGAGACCCAACTGTGACATGAAATATTTCACTGAGACCCAAATTTTGGCCCAAATACAGGCATTTTCACTGAAATACACTTACAAATACCTTGAATGTGTGAAGTACCTTCTTCTCTCCCAAGGCCTTTCATTTTATTATTACTTATATATTATTACATAATAATAAGCTATTAATTACATTAATTAATTATATTAATAATATATAAATAGCATATATTATTTAACAAAAAGTTTTACTATGTGGGTAGAAAATGTTAATACCAGTTTATAGGCTTCTAGTTCACAGAGGCACAGAAATCGAATGATCTGTTCAACATCATCCAGGGACTCACTGTTGGCAGGGGCAGCAGAACTCATTAATCCAAAGGTTTTCTGCTTGACCATTTCCCCCCCAAACCTGGTAGCTTATGTGAGGGTACAAGGGGTGAGTGCAACAAACAGAAGTAGGGGAAAACACTTTTAGTGTCCAACCCAATTACAAACAGAAAGAAAAGACAAAGATTAGAGACAAAGCCAGAGGCGAACAAGTGATCTTAAAAAAGAAGTTGTTTATTATCTTTTTTTACATGCCATAAGTAAAGTCAAGTGCACAAAGCTGTCTGACACAAGCTCGCATTCCCAAACATCAGACACTGCTAGCCAGCAGCCTCCCCTGGTGGGCTACACTCTCAGCCGCAGTCACTCCTGCATACACAAGTGCATTTCACTGCTGTGCTAGACACGGGGAGTACATGTATACGTTTGACATCCAAGGAGAGACAATCAGACTTTAAGACCAGGCCCAGAGAATGCATGCATACTTTCATCTGTCAGAACCAATAATACTTTAATATTGTATCAAATACAGATTACAGGGAGTCAGCTCTTGGTAAGCCTCTTCTAATGTGTTTCCTCTCTCAGATTTTGCACCTCAGTGCCAGATTTGGGTTGGAATGAGCAGCAGTTAAACCAGGTGCTTGTGCTACTCCAAAATTGTCATTAACTTTTCTCCAGAAGCTTTAAAGTTAGGAGAGGCCACTTTTTATTTTGAGTTTAGGTAGTTAGCCTGTTAGCTAACAGGAACTACTTTTACTCGAAAGGTATAGACACAGAAAACTTCCTTGAAGGCTAGAAAGAAAGAGAAATTTGGTTTTTGACACTGGTCTTCAAATCCAACATGGAAATGGTGAAGACAGCAAAAAATATCTGAATGGTAACAGCAGCATGATGGGAAAGTGGAGGCTTTCTCGCCACTGAAAACTCAATGACAAAATCCTGATGCAGTGCAGACTCTCAGACTGTGTGTACCACGTTAACATTTGACTAGCTTTTGCAATTTTTCCACCTGATTTCTTACACAGACCCACTTCTTAACGACCAACACGGACTTGGTATTTGACCCTCTGGCTGAATGCCGACATTTGGCTCAGTCTGTCTTCAACCAAACCTTTGCTACTTGGCTGCTAATTAAGTTAATTGTTAACTACTACCTAGAGATCAATAAAGGGCCAATTTGGGAGGGAGGAGAGGTAGGTATAATTAAAATTTCCTTAATAGAGAACACTTCAAAATCTAGCTTAACGTATAGATATTTATATAATAGACTACAGAAACCTGACATTTGACACCTTGCGTGGTTTTCTGGCTCCCATGCTGCTCTATTCTGCTGTTGCTTCATTTCTTGCTGCCTCTCAGAAACCACAAATATCCTAGCAAAAGGACACATTTGAAATCTGGTTCATTTGAAGGAAAAGAAAAAAAAATCTGACTATGAAGAAAGCAGGAAGCCCACATAGTTACCTTAACTAAAACACATTCAAATGCCCTTTTAAAAAATAGAGGGTTTGGGGGTTGTTTTTTTTTTCCTGTAACATGAGCAACTAGGTTGTTTTTTTTTTAAGCATCCTTCACAGTTAGGGGACATGCTTCCATCAGTTTATTTATGCCCACGTTTGGGATTCCTCTTTGAACATGTGACTGCACTTCTTTAGGCACAAGATGGAAGGAAGAGAGTTGTCCTCATTTTTAAGTATCATTTAGAAAATTTGAAGTTGTACCAAAATATGCCACAAAAATACTAAAATGATTGAAAATTTATGACTGACAATGTACAAGTGTTAGTTGATTTTTTTTCCCCTGACCTATATGCCATCTGAGGTTTCTACACTCATGGCTGAGTCCACAGCTCCTCAAAAGTTGGGAAGAAGCTTCTGGCAGCCAAAGGGGTGAAGCTTCTGCTGCTCATAATCAGGCTAATTGAATAGCATTATTACTCTAGTTCATCCACAGAAGCCCTGTTTCCACTAAATCATGGTCGTCAACAAAATTAACCACTGTAAAAGAGGCAAAATGGTAAGATCCATGCAAATCAGCACCAAAGATATTTGTGCTTTTCCCATCTGGAGACAAAAAGAAGGGCAAAAAGTCATTTCTGTTCATCATTTTTATCAATCATGTCTCTTGGGTGGTTCCATTTATTTTCAAACTGTCCTATTCAAATGATGCTACTGTAATGTCTGGAGGTACAGAAGTCATTCAGTGGGCCTGGGAAAAATCGATCTGTTTCTTACTGTCACAACTTTGCATTTCATTTTGGTATGTGAAACCTAATACCAAAGGGTTTGCTGATGCCAACAGTTATAAAGGGAACCCATTTGGAAGAGTAAAGGCAACCTGCCTCAGCAGGTTTCATTTGATCTACCCTTTAAAAAGCTTATTCTTAGAGAATAGGACAGATTCACCAAGCAGACACAGCAGAACAACCCCCTGTTTGGTCTTTATTTTGTGTTATACTTTTCATTTAGATTGAATAAAATCAAAATACAACCCCACAGTAAGCACCTGGGTATTTTTTTCAGTTTCTAACAATTCAATGTGCCTGAGAATTTCTTTGTGCAAATACAGGTATTCTTCCATTAAAAAATATGCATGGCCCACTCTGGAAAGATTCCTTTCCAAAGCTGCAACAAACTTTTATTTAAAAAAAAAATACAACATCCCCCAATTCCAATAGATTGCACTTCTTCTCTATACTATTCCCAGCCTCCACAGAGACCTGAGACACACATAATTATGTCCATATGTCTTGACCATTGCACTCCTCCAAAAGGAAATTCTGGTAATAGATTTCATTGGCTCCAATTCACTAAACTTGCTAAAGTAGAAAAAGAAAATAATAAAGAAATCCCTAAGAGCATTGGTTTTTTGCATAGTACAAAAATACAAAAATGTTAAAACACTGTAGAGGTGGCTGCAAATACAAAAGGAATTTGAATAGTGCTTGTGCTCAGTGTAATTCTCCTATTTGCTTGTTGGACGTGAGGCAGAAAGGAACACGGGCTTCTTCTGATCCGACAAAAAGGTAAAATTCCTAGTTTTTTTGTTTCAACTGTGAAAATAGCAGGTGATGGACATGCTTATAACTAAATAGCAAATGGGGAAAATGTATAAAATTTCTCACTGCAGCTAAATAACAGCCTGGACTCATCACTTTAATCCTGGCTTAGGCACCAGCCTGGGGGGGGGAAAAAGAATGGATTTCCAAATGACAATGGGAGTTGCTTTCATTCTCTGCCTCTATAAAAAGACTTCTCCCGGCTTGGGATTCTCAGCCAGAAAGGGATGACAATACAAGTCCACAACGTATTTCGGATATGCTCTACTATTAAAGAATTTTACTTTTGCTTTGCTTTTTTTTTGGTTCAAGTTAAGAAAGCCTGAGGCTCCAGGAGTGCTCTCTGTCTCTTCCTTTCTAATACCTGTATCCATTCCTTCTGCTTACACATTTCTCAGTTATAAATGCTGGTACCCTGGACCTTTTCACCACACTCATCTTCATTATTATTCTTTGTCTTTCTCACATCCACAACCTTCTGCAACTTTCCTTCTCCTTCAGATTAGACTACTCTGATCACTACAAGTTTATCCTTCATATGCAAATTCAGTCTTCTTTCAAGATAGCCATTTTAGGGGAAGATGTGCACACTGGGGCTCCAAAGCCACCCAGCATGACTGGAAGACTCTGGTTCCTCCTGAGTCCACCCAATAGATTGCTACTTGCATTTAAGAAGGCAGCAGAGTCTGGTCTTCGCAGGCCAATTTCTGTCCCTTGCCTTTTTCCGTTTTCCTTCATCTCAGGGGGCTGGATGACCCTGGCTATTCCAAGTCTCTTTAGTCTGTCCACCAGGTTCATCTTCAACTGGCCAATATCTGGAGGGTTCTTGGAAGGCCTCAAGCTATACACCTCCTGCAGGAATGTTTCAGCGGGTCGAGAGGCAAGAAAGTTTTCAGAGAGATACGCTCGGGGTTCAAAAGGCAAAGGAGACGGACAAGGCGAATGGTATGGAGTATTTGGTGGGGTGGAGGGAATGGCTGGGACTCTAGTGGCTCGTAGGATGAGAGGGTTCTCTGAAATAGAGCTATGGTATACTTTAGCAGAGATGCCTCTTTCTTGCAGAAGTTTGGCCAGACCCCTGGTACTGCTGCAGGTGGTGGTATAGTCTCGTCGGCTGCTGACAGACTCCCCAATGCTGAGCCTGTAGGTCAGGGCAGGGGAGTTCATCGCTGTACTAGGCGTACTGCTACCAGTACTTCCACAGGATAATGATGGGAAGTTGGAGCTAAAAACAAAACAGATGATTGGTAGCATAATCATTACAATTACTGTCAACAGTTTGCATAAAACTTTTTTACAGGTGCATCTCACTTAAAGCATATCTTTTAAGTGCAAAAATATGTACTTATAAAAATAATCACACTAATACTTTAAGCTCTAAAAGACCTGCTAGACAATCCTTTTCCCATGACTCTAATTACAAAGGAATATAAGTAGGTATTGATATATTTTAAAGTCTAGTACTGTATACAAATGTTATATATGTCAATGTAAGAATATTACACATACTGTATGGTTTCTTAATATTTGAGTTCTTTCAGTTAAAATTTTAAGTTCAGTTCAATATTTAAGCTCAAAAAGAAATAAAACCAGGTTTTATTTCATTTTTAAACAGGTTTAAAAAATCTGGACTTAAATACCAAATAAAATCAGCACTTCTATATAAACAGAACAGAAAAAAGGATTTCCAAATTAATTCAACATGTAACTTTCAAAGATGTCCTGCTTTTTTGTGACTTCTTCTGGCCTTTCTTCTGTTCCCTCTGTTGCATTAAAGAAGATAATGACTCTTTTTTGGGGAGGGAGGCAATCTCACACTATGCTTTGGGGAGAAGAGATGTGAAATAGATTAAAGTATCGTCATGTATAGGACTGAACTTAATTGAATGGCTGGGGCCAAAGGTGCTCTAAACATTGTCTCTAAGGGATTCTGTATTTTTAATATTTTTATCAATTCACTTGGATAAAGGCATGGCATACTTATCAAGTTTACTGATGATCTATAACTTAGGAACAGCCAACCTATAGATGACAGAATCAGAATCCAAAAATATCAACAGGCTGGAAGATGAGGCTGAAACCAAGATGAAATTTCTTCTTCTTCTTCTCCTTTTTTTTTTTGGCTAGGCAATGCGGTTAAGTGACTTGCCCAGGGTCACACAGCTAGTAGGAGGCAGTATCTGATGCCACATTTGAACTCAGGTCCTCCTGACTCCAGGGCCGGTACTCTATCCACTGTGCCACCTAGCTGCCCCAAATGTGTCTATTTTTAATGGCCTACTTGGTAATGCTGAAGTGACATTATACTAACAACTTTGTTAGAGTGTGATTTCCTCCCAGAAATACAGAACCCAAGTTTATATATATCCTTATACTATACCACTCAAAGGCAGCTTAAGTATCCCTCTATGGATGTATTTTTCAGCTCTGACCTTAGAACTCTGATCCCCACAATAGTGGAGGGAATTAAGCTCAACCTTTGGTCTCTAGACAATAGTCAAAAGGAAAGTAATGAGAAAAAAAAGCAATAAACTTACCAGTCATTACAATCCTTCTTTCTTTTTTCCAATACTTACTGGCTAGAAAAATGTTAGATGCAATACGTGCGTGTGTGTGTGTGTGTGTATGTTTTTCAAATACTCATGCTATCTAAAGCTTTTGTTTCTCTGCTTGTTCTTGACCAAAGGCATAAGAATCTTAGTAAGACTCCATCTTGGATCAATGTGAAGCTCAGAAAGGATATCAGGAAAGAAAAGGATTTTTCTTTGACAGTTTATTGGAATTTTAAAAGGTAAATTCTCAACTGAACTTAAAATAGCATACTGTTATTCCACATAAAAATTTCAGATTAGAAATCAAGATTAGCACAGGAATAGATACACTGGACAGCTGTGGGGAATAACAGTGTCTTTGAAGTGCAAAGTACACTTAGGACTTTGCATAATTCTGATCAAGAGCTTTCATATGGGGATCTTTTAGAAATAAACTGACAGAGCAGTTACCCAAAATCTGGCATGAATATGGAAGTTTCCAAAGCAAAAGCTTTACCTGCTGAATAATTAAGATCATTTTGGACTATTTACACAAATCATAAATGTTTCTAAGCCTCACAGATAAGCATAATATTCACTAATATTCAATATTTAGAAGTCCCTTTAAGCACCTTAGAACATTTTATAAATAAACCAAAGATAAAGCCAAAATCAAAAGCAACTTCTCTCTTCAGTATGGCAATTTGCTAGTTGATACTACCTTTAAAACAAAACAAAAACTTTTGATATTCCCCTTTTGATAATATACCTGGGTATATATGCCCCATATCTTCTCCCCCCCCCACCTCTTCAATGGAAGGAAAAGTTGGCAATGATTAAATTAGGATCCATCAGATATTAAGCATAAATCAATGAACAAAAGAGAATAGGAAAAGGTGATGTTCCATCTTGACAACAGCATTCATTCACAGAAACTGTCAAGAGTTAGAAGCCAGAGATGTTGAAAAATAAGAAGAATTAAAAAGGAGTAGAAAGGTGACAACAGTAAAAGGAAAACAGACTTTCCTTCCTTAGAAAACAATCAAAATTCGGTGGATTGAAACCTTTGGTGAAAGTAGTGAGGAAATTATCAAACAGCTAGGAAGACCTGGGGGACTCTAGGGTTATCAGAGGTCTGCTTGTGGGACAGATATACTCTAGCTTACTCATAGTGTCCTGTAAATCAAAAAGGAATATAAAGTACACTATTAAACACTGAAGAGCTGGCTAGAATTGTGCTGAGTTCTTTTTCAGCTACTTCTGAATTTGTGAACCAGGGGTCTCTAAGACACAGAATGTAATCCCTTAGTGAAAAAAGAAAACATCACAGATTATTGAGAATACTCTTACCTTGGGGTAACCTGAGTGATATCGGAGGGGTGTAATATCCTACAAGTGGTAAAGGTAAATGTGGAGTTTGTGGACGATAGACATTTTCCCGGATTGGAGGCTGTAACACAGGCAAAAATGCAGATTAGGGCACCAAACAGGAAACCAAAATATACTGCTTTAGTTACACAAAGAGTACAAAGTTACTTTCATTTTCTCCCTTAATGGCTTATGTCTTTTATGTTTACATGCCAAAAGACTACAGAAACTTCATATACCCAAAGTTTTATGTATGGGTCACAGTACTAACTGGACAGTATACTGCCATATCATGTAACAATTTTTAACTTGAAATCAAAGCTAGATTAGTCTTATTTTATCAGGTAGCTGAAGTGTGAACATAGTTGTCTTAGAAATTTCTATTCCCCACTCTGTACTTTAAATCTTAGATGAAGATTTTCTTTTTGTCTTTTACAAGAGATTACAGATCAATAAACATAAAACTCATATTGGAACATAATAGTCTCTAAAAACAATAGCTCCACTGGACAAATTACCAACTCTATGGCTTGCATCATTTCATATCTAAACAGATCTATCAGTACTTAGTGGAATTCTGACAAAGCAAATTAGTTAAGCACCCAGAAAGTCAAGCACTCTGCAATGAAGGCTGATGGCTTAGGCCTTCTAAGAATAATTATATTCAACCCAAAGCTCTGTGTTACCTGTAAGTGGCACACTTGCTGAAGTAAGAGGTGGTAGGAAGATGCTGGGTACTGGCTTAGACACAGAAGATTTCCCTTCCTCCTGAAATGATTGCTGAACCTGAAATGTTATGCCCTCGTCCTCATCTTCTTCTAAATCAGAAAGGTGATAAATAGCATCTTCTGTCAATAAAGTAAAGCCTTTCGTAATGACCCCTGGCCGTGGGTCAAGAATGGTCCCCAGGTTTGGTTGTGCAAGTTGCTGCCAATGATGTAGAGTCTGAGATCCTGAGCGGGAAAAGGGAAGCTTTTAGGAACGTCAACATATTTTACCTTGGAAGAGAAGCTGGTAGTAAAACCAAACAAATATGGAATAATAAAATAAACTATTTAGTGTTAAGTATCATAAAATTCTTAAAAGCAAAACAGAACTATGAGAGAGTGATGAGAATGGTTTAGCAGTCCATCTGCACAATCAGCTTTTGAAATCTGAAGATGATGTAGGCCAAAAAAAAAAACCTCTTAAGTGTATGAAAGTCAACTCATTGAAGGAAAGTGTGGGCAAACTAGGGGTGGGGAATATGGGTCTAGAATTCCTGGTCTTTAATTATGTCTCTGTACTTATAAGCCAAAAACCAGTCAGTACATCTCCGATCTGGGTATCTGAGGGTTCAATGGGGGAGAATACATCCTCCACATTCTTATCTCAATATCCAATTGTGAAGTATAATTCTAAGAACTCTGGCACCATCTAATTTCATTCCGTTCTAAACACCACTAGCATTGATCATATACAGGCAAAACAGAATCAGAATTGGAACGGACTTATCTATTGGGTTATCTACTTTTTCACTGAATGAAGGAATCCCTTTTATATCAATAGCGCAGAGAGATTTCAGAATAGTGTCTATACTACAAAAATTTGAAATTAATTAATTCTGAATGACAAGTATACTTTCCTATGAACTTGTGGAGTTCTCCAATAGTTTGGCAACATAACATAATGTTAAGAACATTACAGTACATATTTAAAAAACAAAAACAAAAACAAAGAATTTAAACCATTTCAAGGATAGAGGCAGAGGTCATCTTTGCTGAATCTTCATCCTGGCCACATTCACTAAGTATTGCTATATACCCCATGGCTCTATCCTGAATTCAACATGCTCAAAACTGAGCTCATTATCTTCTCCCCCAAACTTCCTTCTTGATGAGAATTTCTGGGAACTTGGCAGAAATTGGTTTAGAGCAACAACTTAAATAATCTACCACAATAAATTCAAAGAGGATACAAATGTATAGAAAAGGACGCACACACAAACTGGAAGAGGACCAATTTAGGTACTTCTGATAGCTATGGCTAGGGGAGAGACTTTATCAAACAAGGGACAGAGGCAATAACAAAAGATAAAACAGGTAACTTTGGTTAATGAAATTGAAAAGCTTTAGCATGTATAAACGAATGCAACTTGGCTTAAGAAGAGACGCACTCGACTGGGGAAAAAAATATGGGACTGATATCCAAGATAGATGGGGAACTAACACAAATACGTAAAACTATGTACATAACCTCTGAGTCACAGTTCACAATACTAGGCAAAGGAGGTGAAGAGAAAGAAAGGTCCTGTATAAACTAAAATATTCACAGAAGCACTTTTTGTAGTGGCAAAGAACTGGAAACAAAGTGAATGCTGATTTTGAAGAATAATTCAACAAATTCTAGTACATGAACACAACAGAATAGTAATGTGCCATAAGAAATGATGACTATTAAGAATTCAGAGAAGCATGGTGAGACATATGAATTCAGGGGAAGTGAAGCAAGCAGAAACAAATACAACATATGCAATGACCACAATAAGGTAAATGCAAAGAACTTTTCCCCTAAACAAACAAAAACCTGAATGCTGTCAGACTGGCAATGAAGTCTGGCCCAGTAGGAGAATGAGAAAATGCACCTCCATGCTTCTTTGTAGACATGGGAGACTAAGAGGATATAATGCTACACATGTCAGATTTTGTTGATGTGTTGGCTAATTTTGTAGAACGTTTCCCTCCCCCACTTTTGTTTCTTCTTTGTTACAAGGGATGGATCTCTGGCTAGGGAAGGAGGAAAGGATATATTAAAAAAATGAAGGTGATATAAAACCAAAAACCATCAATGAAAATAAATTAAGAACACCTTAGCAAAGGATAAAAACAGAATATTTGCTTCCATCCACATATATTCTTTAAATACAATCAGAACAGGAGAACTGATCTTCAACAAGTCTCAAGTAGGGGCTTGACTCAAGGGCTCTTTTTCAGGGAGAAGAAAACAATCAGAAACACAGAGCTCAGTAAAGTTTCTTCTTCCATCACAGACTGCTCACCTTCAAGGGGTTTGACAATCTGCAGCTTCTCTGGCATAAAAGCCCGAATGCAGCTGGTACTGGAACTGAGGTCTATGACCTCAGACTGGTTGGTGCAGAGAGAGGCAAAGCTCCCCGTGGGGGTGCTGCAGCCACTGGCCTCTTCTTTCTCGTCAGTCAACACATGCATCTTACGTTCCCATTCCTCGGCAAAGAACTGTTTCTCACTTAAGTAGTTCTGCCGACGCAGACAAAGGCGATGCAAGGCTGTCGCTAAGTCACTGTCTCCAGGGGTTCCTGGCGGCCTCATATTCTGGGAGTCCCTGTGGGAAATAACAATACTACCACTAGTGGCAACACTGGATGCCTGTAATTATAAAGTGCTTTCACCTGCATTACCGGATTCTGTGAAGATTAGATTTGTAGGACTGCAGTGAGCAGGTTTTGTATTTCTCATTTCTACAGTGTAGGCTGTGGAAGGAGATAAACTGAGGAATCTAAGACTTGCTATTTTTTTAAAGCTATAAATTTGTTAAAAAGAAAGAAGTGCACCACCTTCTATATAACTTTAAACAATTCTGTGTATATAAGATAGCACTTCTTTAGCTAATAGTAGCTGATGATTAGTTAGAATTTCTATGGTACATATGACGCCCTATGCTAAGCACTTTACAGTTATTATCTCAATTGATTCTCACAACAACTCTCCAAGGTAAGGGCTGTTATTTTCCCCATTTTATAGATGATGAGAAAACTGAGGCAAACAGAGGATGAGTGACTTGTCAAACATCACACAAATAATAAGAGTCTAAGCCTAGACTGAAATGCATGTTTTCCTAATTCCAGGGCTAGCACTCTATCCACTGTGCCCCTGAGAAAGATGAATATCTTTAATCACATTTATATCTCCAATTGCGTAACATACCTTCTCTTCACCTCCCTAGGTTTGGGATGGAATCTGTAGTTTAAACGATATAGGGAATTGCCCCCAAAGAGAACTCCTCTTTTTTTTTTGTTGGTGAGTCAATCAGAGTTAAGTGACTTGCCCAGGGTCACACAGCTAGTGTCTAGTGTCTGAGGCCATATTTGAACTCAGGTTTTCCTGACTCCAGGGCAGGTGCTCTATCCACTGCGCCACCTAGCTGCCTCTAAAGGAACTCCTCTTACCAAAGGAGAGTAGGCTCTGTTCTACAATTTAGAATCTTAAAGATTTTGCCTGGGGCAAAGGGGGGTTACCCTGCTATGGGTCCCACAACCAGTACTGTCATAAGCTGAACCTGAACCTAGGTCTTCTGGACTCCAAAGCTGGTTTCCCATCTCCTATGTCATGCTGCCTCTCAAATACACAAAATTAGGAGTGCAGACCTCTATAATCTAGTTCCACTGGCTGATAAGTTTTATCAGTGTGTAGTCAACAAATAAAGCATGAACTATTGGGCCATAATCTTCTACGGATACATTAGGACATTAAAAAGAAAATTACTTTATTAAAATTATACGAACAAACGCAGTGATGGTTTTGAAATGATCGTGGAAATCTGTCTATTTCTATGAAACCGCTCCTGGGACAGTTCTGAATTCCTGAATGTGGCAAATGCCACAAGAAATACAGAAACCAAAGCACCAACTAAACTCCTTACTTGGATAGATCATCCATGCTGCTCCTAGGGTTCGGGTGTGTCCTGCTCTCCAGAGGCTGAACCCCAGACTGGAACAGCTTTGCTGTCATTATGACGCTTGAACGGTTGGAGCCCGGAATCGGAAGCAGGGCAGGAAATGAGGCTGAACGGCAGCGCGCGTCATTAGCCACCCTGACGGTGTCGAATACTCGCTTCTGCTGTTCCCTGTTAAAGAGGAAAATAAATGGCATCTGCCTCTAGCTGAAGAGTGGGAAGGACACAGGTGAAGAAGTCTTTCTCAACCTGGCAACTTGCAAAGGAAAAGCCAGAAATCTTTTTGGGAAAAAAAAGAAAAGTTGCCCCAATTTTACACTTCTTTGGATGTGACTGTGGTCAAGACAGATTGTGAGCCAAGCAGCTGCTAGAATTAAAACTAGAATTAATGGAAAAGGAAGACTTCAGAACACACTCAATTATGTTTATTTAATTAAACACGAAGCTATCTAAAGTGGGGTAGTCTCTCAAGTTTCACAATGCCGCAAAAGAGGACACGTTTACTGGTTCAAAATATTCATAAATTTCAGAATAAGGAAGTTGAGGAAAACTATAAAAAAGGAAAGCTACCAAAGAAAGGCATAAACTGCAGACTGATTTTGTAACTCAGCCTCACAAATACCTGTCACTTCGGGCCACAGCTGAGAAACTCCCCAGAAACAGATTTTTTCCCCTTTATTCTGGTGTTTTGGTCACAGAGGTGACTACACATCGGACTTACTTTTGTCTGCAGAGAGAAGACGACTCATCCAAACTGAGTTCTTTACGCATGGTTCCCTCAATTTCAGCCGCTAGAGATTCCTGAACAAAACAGTTTGGATTTAGGAATGTTTGGTTAAAACAAAACAAAAAGGCAGAAGAGGGCCAGTAAAAACAATCAAGAGCTCTGATGCCTCTACACCGATGCACAAAGACATACGGACAGAGATAAACGGAGTAATGTTTGAGCTCAGAAACGTCATCAGAATTTACTGAGACGCGACTCATGACAGGGTCCTGGCAATGTCAACATACGCCGCATCTACAAGGAAGAGACCAGACAAAGTGGCAGTGAGATTTCCTCCTCACAACTCACAAATCAGATGGGAATGAATATGGTGGATCACACCTGGAGGAAGAAATAAAAATGGTAAATGGTAAAGATATCATGGCGATAAGATCTGGAAGGCCACAAACTAGTTAACAGGCATGACAGAGTAGTGGTAGGACACTTGAAATATCTAGACATCTGCTACAGCTCTCTTTTCCCTTCTTCCCTTCCACCCCCACAATTGCTAATAAATAAAGAATTGGCTTCCAAAGTGGAAATGACAGAACCTTGGAAGGAAGTGACCATCCGGCTCAGAGCTAGGGGTACATAAGGAGAAGGAAGCTCAGGTACGATCCCACATGCATCCTGGATTTGGGAAGGTGCCCAGGTCACTGCCCATTTTAATGATGCTTATAAGATCACAAGTGCCTTTCAAAAGAGTTTTATGAAAGGATAAGAAGGATACTATATCCTAATACTCCATAAGGCAAATCAGGGGAAGAGGGATGGAATGCTCTCAAGAATAAAATTCTGGTGACACAAATGTAAATGATTCCGACTAGGAACAAAAGGAGAATTAGTTTAAAGACATTAATGTGGCTGCTGGGGGATTTCTGAAAGGCATGTACAAAAAACGTCCAGAAAGATCCAAGTGTCCAAAAAGCATGTCTCAATCTGCACTCTGAATCCATCACTTCTCTGTCAGGAGGTGAGTGGGATGCTTCAGTGTTGGTACTGAATGGTCACTGAATTGATCAGAGTCCCTAAGTCTTTCTTTCAAAGTTGTTTGTCTTTGAAATGTTGTTAATGTAAAAACTGATCTGGTTCTGCTCACTTCACTCTGCACCAGTTCACAAAAGTTTTCCCAAGTTTTTTCTGATACTAACACAACTCGTTCAGCCATTCTCCAATTGACGGGCACCCTATCCTTCCCTCCCTTAATTTCCAGTTGTTACCAGAAAGCGCTGCTATAAATATTTTTATACACATGGGACCTTTTCCGTCTTCTTTGATCTCTAGCAGTGGTAAAAGTAGAGTCAAAGAGGATGCAGAGGTTAGTGACTTTCTGGAAAGAGTTCCCACTTGCTCTACCGAACAGTTGGACCAATTCACAGCTCCTGTTTGTAATCTTTGAAAAACTGTCTAAAAAGAGAAAGGCGCTACAGGACTGGAAATGGGCCGAGGATAACCTGATCCTCAAAGAAAGAAGGCTGGTCCTTCAGTTAATGATCTTGACTTGAACTCTTGGAAAAATGTTAGAAAACCTTAGGGATGAAGAGATGGCTTGTGAACCCTCTGGGGAGGGAGGGCACCAGCTACTGTGTGGATCCAGAAAAACTTCATGTGGTTTTGAAGGAAAGCAGTGATTGCAAGAGAGAGGTGAGGAACAAGAGCGTTTTGGATGCTGGGGCCTGTCAGGGCAAAGGCAGAGACACGGGACATGGAGTTTTGTGTGTGAGGTTCCACAAGAATCAAGTAAAACTGGCATGGCTATCTAAAAGTGCCATCTGAATTCTATTCCCTTCAATTTAAACAATTTGGGGGGTACTATTTAAGCATGCTTTAAGATAGCACGTCCTTTTTTGGGGGGTAGCTTGACTGGTCGATGACTACTAGGACTATAGTATGCCTTTAGGAAGGCATATGACAAAGTCTCCATATAACCTTGGACAAGACAGAGAAATATGGGCTGCAGGATGGCAGAGTCAGGTGCCTCTGGAACTGGCTGAATACCTCAGTTAGTACTAATCTGGAGAGACGTACCTGCTAGAGTCCCACAAGGCTCTGTTCTTTTCGACAATTATTAGACTTAGATGACACATAGCTGAGATGGGTAGCTAGCAAGCTAGATGACAGAATCAGGATCCTAAAATGGTCTTAATAGACTAAAAACAGGGGCCTAATTTACATTAATACTTATTAAACTTATATAACTGGATTAAAAACACAAATGCACAAATACAAAACAAGGAGAGTAGTGGATGAATGACAATTCCTATGAAAAAGACTGAGGTTTTCACAGACCAGAAACACAATACGGGTCAACGGTATGGAATGGTGGCTACAGGGCTTCCATGTGCTTAGGCTACATCAATAGCTAGAAACACAGTGTCCTGAATGAGGGAGGTGGGAGCGTTCCTGCTGTCCTCAGCTCTGTCAGATCCCATCTGGAGTGTTTTCTTCAGTTCTGGCTGCAAGCCTTTAAAAGGGACATGGCCAGACTGGGATTTGTACGAAGGAAAGCAACCAGGACAGTGAGGGGCTTCTGCCTGGTGTAGGAATGCTCCATCCAGAGAGGACTTGGGGGTGGAGGATGATGAAGGACAACCACACAGAACAGGAGTTACCCTCATTTTACTTGGTTTATGCAGGACAACATTAGGAACCGCACAGGTTGTGGAGAGGTTGATTTCAGCCAAAAGGAAAACAGTTGTTTAGATGAGGAATGGTCTGCTTCAAGAGCTGATGCAAGTCTCCTCCTGAGAGGCATGCGGTCACATGTGATCCTCCTCGTTCCAGGAAACACCATTTCTCCTTACTCCTCCCACCCCTTCTCCTCAGCAGATGACCCCAGCTCATGATTTACTCAAAAAGCTGAAATCCCCTGAGGAAAAATCCCAGGGCATGTGCTTCAGAGGAGCTCCAAGATGGCGAGGCAGGGGGCAGACAAAACGATGAACGACACATACGAGAAGGGAAACCAAATCGGCTCTGCACCTTTCCTCATATAAATATATAAGCATTCCAATCCCAGAATTCCATCTACCTCAAATAAACATTAAAGCAACTGCCTACTTGTAGGAAAAAGTTTCCTTCTCTCCAGGCTGCACACTTCCTCCATCATGTCTCAGCTCTACAACCTGAAGCCTCACGCCAATCATGGAAGTGTGCATAATGGAAGAGACACGCTCCCTTTCACTGGATGGCTCCTCCAAGAACCTCCATGTAAAGATGGCACCCAGGCCAGTCATGTCTCCTTCCTCTCCAGGCTGCACTCTGGACTTCCTCTTCTACAACCCCTTGTTGGATACTTGTGTCCATCCCCGCCCATCCCACCCTCCTTCCTGTTGCTTCTTTTTATTGGCTGTCTTTGCTCATTCGATTGTAAGCTCCTGGAGGGCAAAGGCTGTCTTTCTAGTTGTATTTATATTCTCAGGTTTTAGCACAGTGCCTGGTATGTAGTAGGTGCTTAAAAAAATGTTCATTGATTGACTGCTGACTGACTGACTGAATGGATGGTATTACAGCTTGCAGTGTATACAGTTTGAAGAAACCAAAATTTCCTTTAATATTCTGTACAGCACTCTGGTTTCCTTACCGCAGAAAATGCTCCACACTGTTGGGGGCCGTATAAATGTGCTGCAGGGCTAGTTCTACTACGGAGTTCCTTCACTTCTTCTTGGGATTCGTGTAGCATTCCCAGACACTCTGCATTCCGATCCTGTAACTCGTGCAGCTGAAATGAGAAACAGGAATGATCAACATAACTTACCGTCTTTTCTGAAGAACAATGAAAGACAATTTCCCAACTAATCAGCAAGCTTTTCCAAGGAAGAAGTGAACTTTTTTCAATACTGTCAAGCAGTTCATACCAAATGAATACAGTTGGTACCTTCCTGAAATGCCAAAATGCATCCCCGCTAGGGACAGCTGGACATAGCTCTTCCTACTCTAAAATGTAAATTTACAGTCTAGGGTAATAATGATAATAATGGATTTATATGGTACTTTTAAGTTTGCAAAGCATTTTCTCATTATATTTGTTATCTCATCTCAGTTGATCAAATTTATTATCCCATTTGAGTATCAAGAAGATAAAAGATTAGCTGTAAGTCACATTTCACATAATATTCATAATTTTTTTAAATAAAATCACTCTCAAGTAAAAAAATACCAAGGTAAGGAAGGTTTGAGAATTATTTTTTTTTACCTCATTTGTAGGTGCTTAGTCTTTCTAAACAAAGGATTTATCTCCCTGGTTTGGGAATCATTCTTTATGCCTACATAGGTATACTTACACAGAACCTAGCACAAGATAGATAGGCACTTCATAAATGTTGATTAACTGAGAGCAAAATGCATTTTCTGCTAAACTCTTTGTTGCATTTGTCTTTTCAGGGGCCTGATTAATTCACTTGCATTATACAAATTAACCATAAAACTTTATAATTCTATAATGCTTCATAATTTACAAAGTCTTTCCCCCCCAACTCCACGATAGCAGCAAGCATTATTATTCCCATTTTACAGATCACAGAGATAGCAAATGTTAGAAAGGTTATACATTTGTAAACATATTTAGCAGACTGGGTCATTATGAAGAACCTAAGAAAATCAGATAGTTTTTTAACTGTTTTGCCTAAATATCTGTTCCTCTAGGCAGCCTTGTGAGATGACAAATCGTAAGGAGAGTTGCCATCTACTTTGGTAGAGGGCATTTCCATGGGGAGCTCCTGTTGAAATCACAGTTCTGAACAAAGAAACCAATACAATGCATATGTGAAATTTTTGCATAGTTGGAGAACACGGGATTTTTTTTTGTTATTTTTCCTGAGATATTTGTAAAGCAGTGTCTTTAAAGCAGAAGAATCATCTGAGAGAAGGAATACAATCACCCATATTTCATCAGACTAATCTTTCCCCAAATTCTGATGCGGAGAAGTCCACATATTTTATATTATTAAGTTTTACAAAAGCTCACCTCTTCACCAATGTTTTTTTCCTAGCCCCCACCTCATTGATCTGTGAAGGCCAACCTCAACCCCTTCCTTTTCTCTCTTCAAGCACTGAAGGGTCCTTCAATAGCTAATTAAAATAGTACTAACTTTGACCCAGTAATAGCACTTCTAGGTCTGTATCCCAGTGAGGTCATAAAAACGGGAAAAGGACCCACATGTACAAAAATATTTATAGCAGCTCTTTCTGTGGTGGCAAAGAATTGGAACTTGACGGGATGCCCATCAATTGGGGAATGGCTGACCAAGTTGTGGTATATGAATGTAATGGAATACTATTGTGCTGTAAGAAATGATGGGCAGGCAGATTTCAGAAAAAAACTGGAAAGACTTGTACGGACTGATGCTGAGTGAAGTGAGCAGAACCAGGAGAATGCTGTATACAGTAACAGCCACATTATAGGATGACTTTGATAGACTTGGCTCTTCTCAGCAATGCAAGAATCTAAGACAATTCCAAAAGACTCATGATGGAAAATGCCATCCACATCTAGAGAAAGAACTATGCAGTCTGAATATAGATGCAAGCATACTATTTGCTCTCCTTTTCTTTTGTTGTTTTGTTTTATTTCTTCTTTCTCGTGGTTCCTCCCATTAGTTCTTCTATACATGACTAATGTGAAAATATGTTTAAAATGAATGTATAAGTAGAGTCTATATCAGATTGCATACTGTCTTGTGGAAGGGGGAGGGGAGGGAGGAGGAGAAAATTAAAAGCTCAAAATCTTATGGAAGTGAATGTTGAAAACTAAAAATAAATAAATTATTTTAAAAAGTAGTATTAATCTTTTTAATTTTATTGGTGATTCCATTGAGATACCATCCAATTATTCACAGTTGAAAAATATCTATGGATTAAAGCATTACATGAGATGATCTCTATTCTCTTAAAAGCCATCTTGATCTTTAAGTATTTTGTTTTTTAAAAGAATGCTTAGTTATTTTTACAAAGCTGATTCTGAAACAAATGCCAATCTTTCTTAACTTTTAGCACATCATATTCTAGTTGTCCGTCCTTTCTTGTTTTTTTGTTGTAAAAAAAATAACAATAATTATTACAGTTAACATTTATGTAACACATTAAAATTTGTAAAACACAGTACAAATTTTATCTCACTGGATTCTCATAACAGCCCTGGGAGGGAAATGCTATTGTTATCCCCATTTTACAGATGAGGAAACTGAAATTGGGAGAGGTTAAGTGATTTGCCTAGGGTCATACAGCTGGTAAATGACTGAGGCAGGATTTGAATTCAGGCCTTCCTGACTCCCTATGCAGCACTCTTCTTACCCACTGTGCACTAGCTCCCTTGAAATACTTCAATGGATCCTTGATCTTGCACGATACCAGCAGCAAGCCCCTCACACATGCTCCTCCCACAAGTCATTCCTCCCATTTCTCCATGTTCTCCCAGAGAAGAACAACTCCCCATGCCAAGGTCCTTCTTATGTTGTTCTGATGCTGGGAGGAAACCAATGGAGCACAATAGGCCTTTTTTATAGGATCACAGATGAGAGAGCACCAAATCCATCATTTCTGTGAATTACTTCCAACCTGGGAGGGTTTCTGACAGTTCTGTTTCTTTTTGGTATTTCTATTGCTGCTTTTAAGTAGTATGTTGACAAGGCAGACTCCTTCATGACAATGAACCCTGCCATTCTCTTTTGAAATTATAGACCCTATGTAAAAGGAACTATCTTGTTAATGGTCATTCGAGCTAGACTGAAAATTCTATTTTTGCTGAAGAATTCTACAGAATTCAAATTTTTTTGTGGTCTATAGAACATGCCGATGATAATCCACAGATGCCGCTTGATGAATTAAAAAAAAAAATCACTGCTTTTCTCCATTTTCTCTAGTTATATAATTCTTCATAAAGACCACTGAAGAAAAAAGAGAGACACAAAAAAGATAAGGAAACAAATTACCTCCATTGTCAGCTGTCTTTGGGCATCTTTGGAAGCTTGTAGGTGAAGCCTCAGTTCCTCCTTTTCAAGGACATGCTAGTGCCATGTTAAAAAAAAGCATACTTAAAATTTTAAGCATATAACATACAATTATTCTTTTTTATGGGGGAAGCATATGACAGCATTAGAAATTCTGATATGAATAACAGTTACTCCTCAAGAGGCAACTTTATAAAATCCTAATTATAATATTAGATTCATAATCATAAAATAACTGTAAAAGTCTAACACGGACAAAAACTATTTCTCTCCAAACTGTCCAGAGAACTACGAGGATTATTAACTAATAGGCCACATGGTAGTCTACTGAGTTCGGTAAGTCGTTACTCTGTTTTCCAGAGAGAGAGACTTAGAGGAGCTGTATTCCAGACACAGGCAACAGTGTACGCAAGGGCGTTGAAAGCATTTAGGGGATCACGAGTACTCCAGTTTGGCTGAAGAAGACAGCATATGACAGGGAGTCGTGTGCGATAGGCTGGAGGCAGACCCAAGTCAGTTTGTCTAGGCCTCAAGTCCTCGGCTAAGCAGACATAAGTACTTGGCAGACAATGAAGAACCAGGACAGTTTTCAAGCAGGGAAGTGACTGGATCAGAAATGTGCGTTCATTATGATGACTGAACTGGCAGTAGTACATTGGACAGACCGGACTGAGAAGGAAGCGACAATGGCAGCCTGGGGGACAGCCAAGGGCCTGTCCTACAGTGCAGGTGGTATGGTGGGCTAACAGAACGGATGGGGTGGGTGGAAAGAAACTGCACGGACATATTTAGGACACATAGAGCTGCGGTCTAATGACAGGGCACAAAATTGGCTTGTGCCTTTAAACCTACTTCTTTAATTTTGTGCTGAAGATCAAGGATCTGTGACAAGAGGGAGGAGATCTTTTCCTGGTACTGAATCAGTTCATCGCTCTTCCCCGATAACTCCTCTGTCATCCTGGACATCTGCGCATTTGTCTCACCTGGAGAGTTAAAAGAACGATTCTGATAACTCTAAGGCCCCCCAGGGGAACAAACAGTAGTAGAATTTCTCCACCTATAGTGATCTGAACCAGATCACCCAGCTACAGAGTCGTAACCCAGATCTCTGATCGCTACTGAATAGGTTACTTGCAGTGCCAATCAATGTAAATGCTAACCCTGCAAAGAACAACTTTCTCAAATCCAGCTGGTTTATGAATCTAGAATCTGCCTTAAAAAATTATAATGTGGAGTATGAACTTCTTTCATGATAGAGCAAAAGATGAAAAACCATCACAACCAAGGGCAAACATTGGTTAAAGGTGGCCCCTGTGTCCAAATTCAAGCTAGATGAGGACTTCTGGAACAGCTTACCTTGAGTGGGGCCCTGGTTCAAGGATATCCCCTATGAGGGAAGAGATGTTTTGAAATAATGCATACATTTTAATTGGGCACTTCTGCTTTATGATTCAGTATTTCAGATGAGGTCAAAGGATCATGAATTTAGAGCTGATGCGAAGCACCCTTGTACATACATGGAATTAAACAATCTTGTCAACAAGATTTTAACTTAAAGACAACGGGAAACAACTCAGGTAGAATTGTCAATGTAGAATGAGTCAGGCAGCTAGGTGGCACAGCGGATAGGGCGCCAGGTCTAGAGTCAGGAAAACTTAATCCAGCTTCAGACACTTACTAGTTGCATGACCCTGAGCAAATCACTTAACCTCGTTTGTTTCCTCATCTATAAAATGAGCAGGAGAAGGAAATGGCAAACCACTCCAGTATCCTTGCCAAGAAAACCCCAAATGGGGTCACGAAGAGTTGGACATGACTAAAACAACTGAACAACAATAAAAGAATTAGGCAAGTTAAGCAAGTTTTAGTTCTTAGGATAGAGTAGCAATTAGGGTATAATTTCTTTAAGATATTTTTGGGAGGGTGGGATATTTGGCCCATGACTCAGAAACAGCTCTTATCAGGACAATAGAGAAGACATAATAGTCATGTTTAAGGTGTTAAAATGCAAATCCTAGGCACAGGTAAGCTAGCATTTTTTTAAGCCTACAGGAATCTAGTAGAGCTAAAAATAATAAATAACACAAGACCCACTTAGCGGAAAAAACAAACAAAAACCAATCCTTTACACCTAACTCACTTCACTCCTCAAAGGTTTTCCACTGAGTTTTCCTTGGGGAGAACACTCATGATCATCTGTAGTATCACTTCATTAATCTTAAAAAACAAAAGATTTGATTTAAAAAATATCTGAAAAAATGAAAGAAATGATGGCATGTTTACTGAGAAGAGAGGCAGCTCTTATTATTCAAAAGACAAGCAAGTAGCCTTCGCAAGTCAGATAGATTTTCAGGCAAGTAAGCAAAACGCTTAACATTTTTAGGGGAAATTTCTAAAACCTCTGTCATTGTTTCCCACCCATGTTAAGCTATGAGGATTCCAAGCGAAAGTAAATATTTATTTCAAAAATAAACTTTAAAATTTAGAGGAAAGAACAGCCCACCAAAACACAGAAAACCAGACCCCTCCTCTCCTCTCCTCTCCGCTGTTTCTCAGTTCAGAAAAGACTTTTAAGTTGGTGGAGAGTTAATGAGACTTCAGAGAACAGTAATGAGGAATCAGAAAGCTAGCTTTGCAATTTAGGGAAGTCCTTTAACCTCTTTGAGATTATTTCCTCATCCGTAAAAGGAGAGATTTGATTTTTAAAGTTTCTTAAAGCATGAAAATTCTGTGATAACTTAATCTATCTAGATGCTGATAGCCTAAATGAATGGGAAGGACTAATAGCTACACTCATTATAGAAGCTACAGCCTTCTCTCCTTTGGTGTCATTCTCTCTCTTCTTCCCTTTCCCTGTTCTGCTTCCTTTCTTAGGCAGCTACACAGACAGAGCACTGGGCCTAGAGTAAGGAAGACTTGAGTTCACATCCAATCTCAGACACTTGCCAGCTACATAACCCTGAGCAAGTCACTTAACCTGTTTGCCTCAGTTTCTTTATCTGCAAAATGGGAATAATAATAGCACTGGCCTTCCAAGGTTACTGTAAGAATCAAATGAGATGTTATTTGTGAAGTGCTTAGCACAGTGCCTGCCATATAGTAGGCACTACACAAATGCTAGCTATTATTATTATTTCTTCCTGGTTGTTCCCCTTAATTGATCATGACATAATACTAACATTTTTTAATTGTTCAAATGCATTAAACAGAATTTGCATTTCCTATCTTTAGTTTAAAAATTGGTCTTGCACAACATTTTCTCCTCTCTCTAAAACACTTTTGACCTAAAACCTAAGTTGAATCTTCATTTATGTCATTCTTGATCAACAGTTTTGGGGGTCAGCGGTTCTTGATAGAAAGGACTTCCTTATCCCTCTTTCAGGTGACATGCTCACCATCTTTTTTTCCACATCTTTTCAGTTGGTGTCCTTTGGTATGATGTACAGCAATGTAAGTCTGATTTAACAACTAGTACTGGGGGCAAAGGAAGTAAAATATTTAAAAATTAAATTTGGTGCTTTATTTCACACACAGTCATAGAATCACAAGGACCTGGGCTATCGCCCTAGCCCACCTTTCTCATTTAATCAAGAAAACTGAGGCTATATACCAAGATATTAAAATGCACTTCTTCAAACTGCTGTTTGAAATATTCTTAGGGAAATCTTCTATTTGACTTCTAAATAGAAATTTAGTCAATTGCAAACTGGAAGTTTATGAAACACATAGCATAAGTTTCTCAGGGGTAGGCATTACCTCATTTTTGTCTTTATAACCCTTATACTCAACTCAGTGTCTTGCACAAAGTAAGGTGCTTAATGAATGAGGAAATAAGTTGTTTTATTGGTAGGTCCTTAAATATCTGTTAACTTGAATGTTCACCTAAAAATAGAAAAATGAAGCATGACGAAGCTTGTAAAAAGGCCATTCTAGAACTGTCTAACCTGAATTCCAACAACAGAATGGAAACTGAATACTCACGAAGCTCTTTAACACAGTCATTGACAAGTTGCTGCTCCTTCTCTTCATAGGTAATTGTTTCAGTCTTTATGTGAGAAGCCTTTAATAGAAAAACAAAGAGATTGCAGTGAGTTCTGTAGTAGCAGCATATTTTAATTCTTTAATAATGAGTCATGAGTAGTTGAGATAACCTTTATATCTCATTTAAGATATGATGAATAGGTCATGAAGACATATCCATAAAACTCGGAGTCGGTATAGTATCGATCATAAAATGAGGGATTTCATAATAATACTTCCACAGAGCTTTATTATGGTGACATAAAAATAACCTTGATACTTTCCATGCAATCATTACCACAGATGATAGACAAGCCTGAGAGCACTTTAAGCACACATACACACCAAGGAGACAATAAACTTTTTTTTTTATTAGAAGTAGGCAAGAGAGAAAGGTGAAGGAGGAAAAGACAGTGTCATGACTATCAGACCTCTATACAAAACAGCATGCTGGACTAGAAAGATGAAAACCAAGACGACGTTTGCAGCATCAGGCACTACTCTAGTTCTATAAGGAAGGAGAATGCAAAAATTGTCACAGAAGAATTTTTTATTGCAATCTTTGTGAGCAACTGATGAGCAAGTTGGCAGGAAATAAAAAGTAAAGCACGAATGTCTGTGAGTGAGCCAGGCTAGATCTGGGACCCAAATCTCTACTCAAACCTCTGGGAGAAAACTTAGAGCATTAACTAGTGTATTAACAGTCTAAGGCAGGACCTGTGCCCGGTCACAAATTACAGACACACCTGGCCATCACTCGCCGTCCTCTCTGACTCTGACAAAGACGATCTTCTCTTCACCACGGTCCACCCCTGATGCCTTTGGATCTCATCTCTTTCAGCAGTTTGCTCTTTCATTCTCTGTCACTCCTCCCCTCTCTGTTCCTTAATTTCTCTCTCTATACCCATCAGGTCTTCCCCATCCTATCAAAGCCTACCATCCTCTCAAGATAGTATCCTTTTACAACCAAACTCCTAGAAAGACTGTCTCCACTTCTCATTCCTCAATCCATTCCAACATAATTTACGACCTCAACATTCAACTGAAATTACTTTCTTCAAGGTTGTTATCTGCTAAGCCAGAGGGATTATTTTTAATTTTCATTCTTCTCAACCTCTGCAGCACTGTTAATCACTCTCTCCTCCTGGATGCTCTTTCCTCCTTGGGTTTTTGTGACTTGGCTCTCTCCTGGTTCTCCTCCTCCTTCTCAGTTTGTTCCATCTTCCATGCCCCACTCCCTAAAGAAAATCCTCTTTTTTCCTGGTGATCTTATCAGTGACTATGAATTCAATGATCATCTTTATACAGTTAAATCCCATGCATACAAATCCAGCTCTAGTTTATCTCCCAAGCTTTGGTCCTGCAACACCAACTGCCCATAGCAATATTTCCAACTGCATGTGGCACCTCAAACTGGACATGTTGAAACAGAACTCATTATCTTTTCTCCTAAGACCCACCCTTCTTCCTAATTTCCCTATTTCCTCTGAGAACACCACCATCCTTCACATCACCAGGACCAGCAATCCTCATCATCCTCTCTTATTCACTCTCCTTTAACCCTCAAACCAGTCAGCTGGCTAAATTCTGTCAATTCTGTTTCCATGTTTCCATGTTGTCTCATCAGTTCTCTTCTCTTATCAACTCTTGCCTACATGACAGCCACAGCCTTCTAATTGGTCTCCCTGTCTCCAGGCTCTTTCCTATCCAATACATTCTTAACAGAGTTTCCATACTGACATTCCTAAAGTGTTTAATCATGTCACTGACCTGCTTAAGAAGATCAAGTGGCTCCCTACTGCCTTTAGAACTGAGCACAAACTCCTCTGGCTGTCACAGAAAGCTTGGTTCCAACCTAACTTTCTAAGCTGATCTCACATTTATCGCCTTTATTAACCCTGTGTTCCAGCTTAAATAGACTACCTATCATTGCTTCCTATGCTACATTTTATTTCCTCCCTCCATGACCTGCATAAGCTGACCCTACAAACAGAATGCATTCCCTTCACACCTCTATCTCTCCAAAACACTGTATCCACGGCTCGGCCCAAATGCTGCCCTTTACAAAAGGCCCTTCCAGATTTCCCCTGTTATTACTGTCTCTCTCTCCCACCTCCCCCAACCCCAAGGCTTTTCCTTTATTTTGTACACACTTTGTACTGGCTAACTGAGGCACATGTTGTTTTCCCACAGTAGAACATAAATTCTTTGAGGGCGAGGCCTGATTTATTTTTATCTTTGTATCGAAGCACCTACCACTGTCTTCTGCACAACTGCCATTTAATACACGCCCGATGAATGAAGGATTAAAATTCACCACACTTTTAAGCAGCTACCGCGCGTAGCTACACTAGACACTGAGGGAGATATCTTATTTAGACAAGACGCAGCTGATGTGCGCTCATTCATCAGGATACGCAGAACTGGAGGGGACTCTAGTTAGGGAGAAAGGTTAAGGCAGGCTTGGGACGTGGACTCAGGTGTTACCTGAAGCCACAGGAGTGGAATTCTGAGCTCACCAAGGGAGGGAAAAGGTAAGGCTCCCGCAGAACATCTACCTCCCTTTATGGAAGAGAAGCCAGTGAAGGGTAATCACAAGATACCCTGCCCAAGAAGGATCATGGAATCACAGACTTAAAAGCTGAAAGGGACCCGAGATGTCAAATTAGTCCAACCCTCTCACTTGACAGTCAAGGAACTAAGTGAGACCCAGGGAGAGTAAGTGGCCTTCCCAGGTGACACAGGTAGGAAGAGGGATTTTAGGTGTAAGGTGGATTTTATTATTCTTTTTTAGATAATAGTTCCCAGGATCATAGACACTAGTTCCTAGGATCCATGGCCATAAACAACTGCTACTGCATCTGCACACAGGTACAGAATGTTAAGATGATATAAACATTGGTGTACTTGCTCTGTGCTGAGTCACCATGATATCGCCAAAGTTTATGGAAACATGTGAGCCTGTTGCTGGCAAAGTGCCTTCTTTGTGTGCGCCTCTACAAAGCAAGTCAGCCCTGGGCAGTAAGTGGGGAATGTGACAGCGCAATCCTGTGCTTGCCTCGACTGGCCCCCATCGAGACTTAGGGGACACTGCAGGAGCTGGAGCTTCGACTATGTTCTCACCTGCTCCTGTGAGAAGAGTAATTAGGGAATGCTGTAGGAATTGGGGCTCCCATTATCAGCAACCCTTTGAGAAGAATAAATTAAATAACCCCTGGTTGTATCTCCATTGCTGTCCTTCTGGCTGCCTGGATCAAGAGCAAAGCTGCTAGAGGTCAGAGCCCAAAAGCTCCTGTATTATAACAGGGATTCAAACCAGGGTCCTCTGATTCCTCACTGAGAGCTCTTTTCACTGTAGCATCCTGCTTTCCACTAGGTTTCAAGGGACTAAATCCCAATATATTGAAATCTCTATTTAGGTTAGATATTCTGGATGGAGAAGAAATAGTTAATGACACAATCCCACATGCACCAACCAATGAGTAGTATGGAAAAAAGCAAATCTGTGAATAAGGATGTGTTTCATGTATACTCAAGATGGAAGCTAGAGTTCATACTTTTGAAGTTGATTTGAGTGAAATGGTCTACCAAAAGATTACTAGAGAATTTTCTAAACTTCTTTTTCTCGTAAAGTTCAACACTCTTCCTTTTAAAGTGTGTAAATTTAGAACCATGAGAATGCATAGATAGGCAAAGGTGGTGTAACCTTAAGGAAATCTTGAGCATACTATAAACCAGGAGTTCTTAACCATTTTTGAGTCATGGATCCCTTTTGGAAGTCTGGAGGAGCTTATGTGCCCTTCTCAGAACAATCTTTTTAAATGAATGAGCAAAATAAAATATATAGGATTATAAAGGAAACCAATTATATAGCTATCAAAATATTTTACAAGTTTTTTTTTTAAACCAAGTTTATGGACCCTAGGTTAAGAAACCCTGCTCTAAACTTACTAGATCTTCCTTTCCATTCCACTCCCCCCTACCCCCCTAACTTTAACATGCACTGTGAAGCAAGAGAAGATGAGGATTGGGATACCTTAGATCGGAGAGCCAAATTCTCCTCCTCCAGTTCCTTGAGTTTTTCTTGTAGCATGTCCAGCTGTAAGAGACCTTGAGAAAGGCTGAAAGACTCATTGAATCTAAGTGGTGTAGAACAGCTGGAATCAGTTTCACTCTCTTCCAAAGCAAAGGAGACACGAAGTAATGCTTCTTTCTTAGACAACTCATGCTGCAGCTGATTAACCTAAACGCAAAAGGTATCTGATTTACCAAATGTTCTTCCTATTTCATACTTTACACAGCAGGCAACGTGGCCTCTGAATTCCGAGAACTGTACCACAGTTTAAACTAAGAAACAACACTGAAAGCAACATTTTCCTGACTGATATGAAACATATCAAAAGATGAAAAAACTTCACTCAGTCTTCCTCAAGCTACAAATTGAGAACGTTTTTGCTACAATACATCTTTGAAGTTTTAATAACACAAGCATTCTAATAAGTTACAATTCAATACAAATCAATTCCAATGAAAAAGTTTACTGTTACGAGGCAAGCCACGTTTTCTGTTTAAACCATGAATATGACTAAAGGCATCAACGGAAAGACGGTTTCTATCTTTTACATCTTCCATTAAAGCCTTTCTCTATTTCAAGAAGTCACAGAAATGACTCTGGGATGTCAAAAGATAGGCTAGTAGAGAGCAAACTCTAGCGGATCCCACACCTCGCCACCAAAGCTCTGGGCATGGAACCGCCATGTTGTCCAAACACCAACCAAGTTAAGTTCAGAAGAACCATCTACTAAGTGATAGAATATAGACTGTGATCATTTTTGGTGGCAGGAGTACCAGCAACGCCATTAAGTTACAGATCCCTTAAGTACTGATGGATCTTTAACATAAATTCAAGATGAAGTTTCATAAAACAAAGTAGCATGGCTAAAACAGGGGCAAAATAGAGCATTACTACACAAGTAGCTTACCACAAGTATTAAGTTACTTTCACATGATTAATAAGAGCATAATCGCATAATAGAAGACCTTCAAAATATCTTGTTCCATCACTGTATTCACTATAATGGCAGTCAAAATACTCCACCTGCCAGAGGGCCCTTATGTGATGGAATCATTTCAGAGAATCCACCACAGTAGATAACTCTGCTCTCTCAAGGCTTCTATCATTCAGGAAAACCACTCACTTGATCAAAGGCTTGTCCCAACTGCTCTTCAAGTGCTTCATTCTGTTCAGACAGAACATGGTTCCTCTTCAAGAGAGCTTGGCCAATGCGAGCTGCTAGCTCGAGGTCCCGATCTCTCTATCCAAACATAAAACATATTTTTCACTTGACAGCAAGTAAAGTATTACTTAATCCAATATACTCCAGAAGCTCTAGTCACAAACGCAAATTCCTAGAAAGTGTCAAATTTCATTTTAATTCCAGAAATTCCTCCAAGAAAGCAGGAAAATTTTTCAACAAAACATGTGAGGGCCTCAGTGCTCAATGCAAATCATTATCTGATTTTTCATATTGAGAGTTATTGATCATCATCTTACATAGGGGCCCTGAAGCCTTCAAGGTGACCCTTAGAGTTGGGGCCAGGAGACACAACTATTAAGTAACGTTCCAGAAAAGGGGCACTGAAATGAACTGGTAGTAGTCAGGTAGGTTGAAAGTAGCTCTAGAGCTGGGTATGGTGGCACAAGCCTGTATGATCCCTGCTCCTGAGGAAGGCTGAGACTGGGGGATCACTGGAGTTTGGAAGCTCTAAACCAAAGTGAGTGCCTGGGATGAAGTAAAGCACCAATAGGGGGAGCTCCCAGGACTAGAGGGTCACTGGGCTGCCCATATTAAAAAAACAGAGCAGGAGGTGATCAGTATTGGGAACAGGCCCATGATTGGCAGCTGTGCTCCCAGCCTGGGTAAGACAGAGAAGAGACTAGAGGAAAAAAAAAGGAAAGAAGCTGGCTCTATATAGGCTAATAATTTTAAGTTTCTAGAAGACAGGGGCAATATTATTTCACAGAATACAATCATAAGATGGTTAAAGGTGGAAGAGACTTTATAATACAATCATCTATCCTAAATGCCTCATGTTATAGATGAGGAAAATAAAAGACCAAGAGTTTTGAGGCTCAAAGTCTAGGGTGGCAAAAAAAAGTTAGATAACGGCTAAGAGAATAAGTATTCAGGGATAGGCAGTGATAGACCTATACGCTTATAGTATTTTATTTTGGTGAAATTAGGGCAAAGCAAGAGAGTTTTCAATACAGTATTTCTAATTACTCTGCACCTGAATTTTAATATCTAATCAGATCCAAATAAATATAGACTCAAGAGGGGCAGCTATTGTTGGAGGGGATCTTCTACTCTTTTAGTTTTCCGAGTATTTAAGTTATAGCAACTCCTGATAAGACAAGCCAAAGAATTCACTTCTCTACTGTTGCTAAAGAAAAATGATCATTTGAACTTTAGTCAATAATTTTTACTCAAAGGGAAGAGGTGATCCTACCTCAGCCAGAAGGTGTGTGACCATTTCAATGTCATTATAAGTTCTGGTCATCTGCTCCACCCTGTCTGTGCCTAGAACTAAGAAAAAAAAAATCCAAATCAGTGTTGACTGTTTCAGAAACAATAAGAAAATTTGAATATAAGCACTTAGAAAAGGCAAAAGGATCAATCTGTTTAAAAAAAAAGAATATATGGATGTGATGAAAAGGTTGTCATAGTAATCAAAGGAGTTCCACAAGAGTAACTTTCAACCAACACATATGAATCACTTTTCCATATTGATGATACAGATGTCTTTACCTTCTTACTTTTTGGGTTTGCTGGGTTTTAAGTTTACAAATTATTTTTCTGATCTTAAAAGATTATAGTCAGCAACACTGTACAATGATCAACTATGATAGATTTAGCTCTTCTCAGCAATACAATGATCAAGATAATTCTAAAAGACTCATGATAGATCCAGAGAAAGAACTTTGGAGTCTGAATGCAGATTGAAGCATACTATTTTCACTTTGTTTTTTCTTTCTTGTAGTTTTCCCCTTTTATTCTGATTCTTTTCTCACTAATATGGGAAATGGGTTTAACATGATTGCACATGTATAACCTATATCAGATTGTCTGCGACTTGGGGAGGGGGAGAGGAGGAAGGGAGAAAAATTTGGAACTCAAAATCTTATAAAAAATGAATATTGAAAAAAATACTGAAATCTTTACATGTAATTGGAAAAAAATGAAATACAAAAAAAGAAAAAAGTTATAGTAAATGAAAAATTTCCTTCTAATTATTAACAACTGAGTTTGGATTACATTTAAGGGCAGTTATTTTATGTTATGACCTATTAACCGTAGGTGAATGTCAGAAACAAGGAAATTTACTAATCAGGTATCTACCTATAGTTCTTTTGTGAAACAGTCATTTGTTGGCTTAATTAAAACCCTGAGTCATCATTAAAAAAAATACTCAGTTATACTAGGCCCATCTGCAATATTGCATATTGTACAACTGTGTAACATTCCAACATGTTATCTTTTACTCAGTAGTAGTAATGACTGATTCTATTTTTTTGGGGGGGGCCAGGCAATGGAGTTAAGTGACTTGCCCAGGGGCACAGAAGTGTTACGTGTCTGTGGCTGGATTTGAACTCAGGTCCTCCTGACTCCAGGGACAGTGCTCTATCCACTGCACCACCTAGCTGCCCACGACTGATTCTTAATAAGCAAGGGAGACTTCCATTCAAATATATTTTATGATGAGAACAGAACTATAAACATGACCTAAAATTAACGAAATGCTAGTGGATTTTCTCAGTTTATGGCTTTAACACCATATTCAATCTCAACTCTTCAGGCTAATAGTGCAGATAATCTAAACAGTGGGAAATCTGCCTTGGCAACATATTAAATTATTTTTCTCTCAGGTAATCTATAAATGATTTGCACTGATCAACACTAACCAGCTGAGTGGTGGTATAAAATGTTTTGGGATTTTTACCTCTTTGGCATGGCAGGGACTTACTTGACCGTGACTGTTTTCTACTTTAAGTCACTTAGGAAGATAACTACTGATGATTATTACTTTAGCATTTTTGGTTTCTTAATCCTCTGAGATTTATAAGGAAGACATTAGATTACATTTTATTTTTGATTTTCTGAAAGCATAGGTCTGATGTTATTCCCCTATTAAACATACTCCAAGGGTTCCTAACTCTTGCCTGTAGGTTTAACTTTGACAGCCTGTCACAACCTGACCCCAACATATCTTTTTAAGCATACCATATATTATTCCTCTTCTAATATTCTCTGGCCAGCCAAACAGGCCTTCTTGCTGGCCTTCATAAATGACACCATCTCCTGTTTTTGCATCTACATACTGGCTTTATACAGTTGGAATTCACTCCCACCTGATTTCTGCCTCTTATAAGCCATTGTTTCCTTCAAAACTCAGCTCAAGTAATACCTTCTAAATGAAGCCTTTCCTGATCTTCCCTGCTACTAGTGTTCTTCCTCAAAAAAAAAATTTTAAATCTTGTATAAATTTTGTACAAACTCATTTATGAAAACGTTGTCTGCCGTGACGGAACGTAAGCTCCATGAAGGCAGGCACTGTTTAATTTCTTGGTATTCCCAGCACTTAACATAGCACCTAGTACATGGTTGGTATTAAATAAACGCTTGTTGACTGACTGTCATTCTTTGAGTCTTTCTCCTCCTCCTGTGTGCTATTTGACCATTTCACTCTCTTTGGTATCTTATCAGAGATAAAGTGAATGAAAACTAAAATCAATTTTGTTTTATCTATGTTAACAATTCAGACAAAAGACTTGGTAAGGAAGAAGGTAGGTGCTCAAGGAAAAAAAATGAAGTCTAAATATCTTGTAGATTTGAACAACCTGCTAATCTCCATTCCTCATTATCACAGATTTAAAAAAAGAATCATAGTTGGGTTGATGGTATTTGAGGATATCTGAAGAAGCTTAAACTTTAAAACAGAAAGGTTCTTCATTTAAAAAGGTCATGAAATCGGAAAAAGAAAATTAGAAAGGGAAAAAAATTTCACAATAATTGATGTTTATAAGAAAGGCTTTTGTCCCCTTCTATTGTGTCTTAATCATTTAGCCACATTAATTTGATTAACAATACACTTTTGATAGCTGGACCCAGGGGTTGGTCAAGTAATTTTCTCAACCTAAAATAAAGCCATTTCTATGTCCTGTCTCTTTAATAGAATCAGAGGAAAATCAAAGGTGAGAAATTTAGCCCTCTAAGTTAGAGAAACTTTTTGAGCGGTGGTCTGGAATCCTCTGTATCTTAGCATGACGGCATCTTTGCACCATCCCCCTTTTCAAATTAGTTAAACAGTGATGTTAAATCTTATATAGGCCAGATAACTTAAAAAAAAGGAAGAATCATAGATATTCTTTTAAAAAATTATTTTGATTCTATTCAGAGGCAAAATAACTCTATTTAAGAAAGGATATGCAACCTTAAAAAAAAAGTTACGCAATCTTAACTCCACAAATATCATGACAAAGAAAGTGTTAAGGCATTTCTACATTTAAAGTAAAAGTATACTTAAATACTAATTTTTAAATCCCACTAGCACAAATTCACTATATCCTAGGCACAATAACAAGTCTTGTTTTCCTACAGTGATTGTATCAAACTTTGTTCTTTTAAAGTTTATATGTAACAAAAAAAATTTTATAACACAAAAATGCTAACTAAAGTCGAAGATGAAGTAGGCAAGTGAGTTAATGACCAACTTAACATAAAATGATTAAGAATAGGTCAAGAACGTAAAAACCTTAAGTTGTGTGTCAGAAGTCATATCTAGTGATGAAAACAGGACAATAAAGAACTAAAAAGATGGAAGGGGGGGCAGCTAGGTGGTGCAGTAGATAGAGCACAGGCCCTGGAGTCAGAAGGACCTGAGTTCAAATCTAGCCTCAGACATTTGACACTTACTAGCTGTGTGACCCTGAGCAAGTCATTTAACCCCATCGCCTAGCAAAAACAAAACAAAAACAAACAAACAAAAAGATGGAAGGAATTATCTTGAGCTTAATTTTTTAAAAAAGCTTTAAGGAGAAATTTGAAGTATATCTATTTCCTATAAACGATCACAATTTTCAAAAGATTGTACCCATTTAACATTGTTACTCTCCAAGATGGAGAGATTATCTATCCCACTCAAAGAGGCCTAAGGGAAGGCCCTAGATTACCTTATTTGTTCACCTAGTCTTATGCTCAGTCTCCTATTTTAGTTTTATGTGGTTCCAAGGGCCTCCTCAGAAGGGGTTTGGCATAAAAATTTTTTTAATGAATAACCAATGAATGTGATTATGGATCATTCAACATAAAATATTTTGTTAATGTCCATGTCTCTGAGTTCAGTTACAGGCATTCATAACTTCACTGAAGTAAATGCAAGGGCTATTAAAAGTTTAAAGGAAAAAATAGGAATTTCAAAATTCTTACATACTTATTCTGGTAGACAACATAAAGTATGTGAGACATAAACTGAATACCCATCCGCCTACTTTCTGTACCAAAAAAACAGCCTACACTAGAGACCCCTTATGCTCAGAGACTTGTAGTCAACATAGAGACTCAACAACTCAGTCACTTACTTATCATATCAGACAGTCACAAAGCAGACAGGAAAACAACGAATCCCTCTAATCCACCCTCTCTTTTCCTTTAAAACAAGCTGCTAATATAAAGACAATGGTGCTAAGCACTCAGAACAAAGCTATTAAAACACTGTGGTTAAATAGCTTCACATACCATTGCTCAGTTCTTCCTGCTAACTAAGGATAGAGGACAGCCACCTTCTCAGTACTCTGGGCTTTAAATACAACCAATTTCACTAAAATGCAATTTTCCTGGTAGATCTATATATCTTTTAATTCTAAAAAAGAATAAGCAGTACAGAAATACATCTGGCCCTTGCTGCCAAGTATTAAGTACTCTAGAAAAGACACTATCAGGATGGACAAACTAGTCATACTTTTAAGGATCAGTTTGGCAGTTCCTTGCAGCTATAAACTCATGTATAATTTTTTTAGTGCACTATTTCAGAGGATTCTGTTGTTTCTATCTTCTTGAAGGAATAGCTGATTTCTGTGACTTCCTCGTATCTATGTTAAGAGATCTTCACATATTCCAGCTCTCTAAGACCCACATGAAGATTTCTAAGAAGGGTGTATGATAACTCAAAGACAATGAATGTTGTTTCCTCCTCTGTACCTTCCCACCCCGTCCTAGCCACCCCCCACAACAACGAGACTCTTGTGCTATAGTTATCATATTTCACAAAGACGTAAAGCCCTCTCCCCATACCCCACCCCCCACCGAAACGCATACATGCCCCCTCACCACGCAGAGTAAAGGCTGTAAGAAGCTCCTCATTATAATTAATGTTATTGTTATGAAGGGCCATCTTGTGGGTCTTCATTCATATCCTGTGGGTATTCCTAAGGACTCCAGGCCAGAGATGCTCGTTGGCACAGTCTTTCTAACCTTCCGTGTCACTTCTCTGGTGTGCACTTAACGTTATGGCCTTCTTTTAGACACAC